GGTCGTGTTATCTTTTGTTTATAATCTACAATACAAATTGTGCCTTAGCATAATGAACTACTCTTATTATGAACCTAATTTTAGGTCCCAAAACAATAAATTCTCATTATAAAAACTAGTCTTATAAACTTAAAATTTTACTTTATTCAATATTTTAAAACAGCATTTTTTTTTTGTCGTGTTAAATTAATTTTCACATTAAACTGTCCATTTAATAGAATATCTTTGCATTAATAAAAATTTTACACAGAAAAAAATGCAAATAGCTTCCAAAATTAAAAAAAAAAAAAGTAAAGAAAAGGTGTACTTAAGAAGGTACCAATATATATATATAAAAAAAAGCCAATTTCAAAGCTTTTCAAAGTGAAACAATGCAGACAAAGTTTCAAATAATAATATGTAATATTTCTACCAAAGACATGCTATTAAAGATTGCTAAAGAAAAGAAAGCTATTAAAAATTGCTACAAAGTAGGAATCACACACAACCCCAGTTTTTGCTACAATCATACCTGTTAGCATCTCTTCCAGAAGTGTACAATATCTAGCCAGTTTAATCTAGACCAGGGGTTGGCAAACTGCAAGCCACATGCAGCTCTTTGGATGTGAAGCTGCGGCTCTTTATATAGTTCCATACGTAAATATTATTTATGTGAGTACTGTGCAAGTAACCAGTAAAGTGCAAAGTCGAACTGCTTCTCACATGTGCAGACATGTGGTGCGCTTACAGTAAAAGCAGTCGCAAACTACCCACCATGATTATCATGGCTTTGAGATAAGAAAGAAGAGAATGTGAGTACTATTTATTGTTGGCAAGAAAAAATTTGTAGCACTTTAAAAACTCTTAAATTTGTCATTTTTGACTCTTCCAACTCAAAAGTTTGCCGACCCCTAATCTAGACCAAAAATGTTCAAATAAACAGGTCCATGATGCAACAAATGGTTATTTTTTAAACCATGGTGATGTTTTGAAGCCAGCAATGGTAAATGACAGAGAGGTTCAAAACAACGAAATTCTGCACTTCAGAAAACAATGTGGAAACAAAAGAATAATACTTATTAACTTCATTTGAAAGACGATGCTTGAAGAGTGCTTTAAAGCAACAAAGTATTAGAAACTTTTAAAATTAAAGTGTATAAATAGTTTAATATGATTAAAGTTATTTTTAAATTGTTTGATATATTTTTTTATATGGAAAAAATAAAAAGGTCAGATGTTGATATTAAAAACAATGAAGGCATATCTTGACCAGGAGCATATGTGCTTTTTAGATGGCAGAGCGCCATCTAGTGGAACAGAAATCAATTAAACATTGATTTAGACTGTTCCCTGATATTTGGCTAACCCATTTTCTTGATAAACGCGTTCGTGGATGCTTTTCTTGATTTATCAAGAAAATGGGTTGGCCAAATATCATGGAACAGGCTAAATCAATGTTTAGTTGATTTCTGTTCCACTAGATGGCGCTCTGCCATCTAAAAATCATGTGTGCTCCTGGTCAGGATATGCCTTCTTTGCTTTTAATTTTAATATATATATTTAATAAAGCTTTGCCTAAAGAGAGAGAGGAATTATCTTGAATATTTAAAAAATAGACATATATATGAAGGTACATATGTATATGCCAATGATAAAAAGAACCTAAAACACTTCACAGGATATTTTGTGACCACTTTGATATTCAGCATTAATGGAGGTCAATTTAGGGAATTAAAACAAAGTGACCATTATAAAGAAGTAGCCTTTTTTCTATGTTTTCACATGACTACCTTTTAATTATGTAGTGTAAAATTTTTTTAAGTGAAAAAAAAAAAAGCCAAACGGTAGGTATAGTGAACCAAAGGTTCAGGCCCATGGAGGGTCACTATAGATGGGTTTTACTGTATATGAGAATCACACAAGAACAAAACACTCATAACCACCAATATTGGAAGTTAAAACTTCAGAATTATACAGGGGGATGATACAACAAGGTTCCACCACATGTAGATTCAGTAATTTTGTCTGAAGAAGCTGTTACTGAAAGGTCACATAAAATTTACATATTTAGAATATGGTCTATCTACCTGTGACTCTCATTACATAGGTGGAATTTGGCTAGGACCTTGAATTATGAAAAGAAAGAAGGACACTTTTCTTGTCAAAAATAGACTTCAGTTCTTCAGTTGAACATTTTAAATTTGTCAAATCTGGTGCTGTGGCTTACTGGATTCTGATGGTTTGATGAGACAGTGCTTATATTTTAAGAAACTCCGACTCTGCCAGTCCCAAACCCGGAGGAAAAAGGAGGAGAGGGAGCAATAACATGCTCACTAAAAAACCTGGGCTCAGTTGGCACATTGATAGTACCCTGAAAGGGCTCCTGATCCAGGGTTACAAAATGAGTCTGTACTTCATGTTAAGAGCGACTGCACATGGTGTCTGTTCCTCATGTCAGAGGCGGCCATTTCATATTGGAACTAAGTTGGCCGGCTACTGAGTAGTCCTCCCAGACTTAATGACAAAAGCATTCTACTTCACCCAGTCATGATGGATGTCAAAACACCATAAAAAGTCTCAAACTCTACAGGCTTGATACCTTGATATGATTGGGTGGAGATAAGGAAGAAGAGATTTTAAGTAATGTTTGGGAGGGGTGTCATTCCTTTAATAGAATCCTGGGAGGTCTGTTCCCCTGAGCAAACCTCATTATGATTTGTGAGCATTTTACATTAGATTTGGGTTAGTAAACATGGGAACTAGTCCTGAGACCTCCCAAGAATCATCATGTAATATTGCAGCAAAGTATTAATATTTTATATACAGATTATTAATTTTTTGATATTTATATTTTGCTATTGTGGAAACTTCCCTCATTGCTTATCTTATAAATCCATGTTAGGAGCGGCTGCACATGGCGTCTGTTCCTCATGCAAGAGGCGGCCATTTCTTTTGGAGCTAAGTCGGCCTGCCACTGAGTAGTGCTCCCAGTCTTAATGACCAAGGTAGATGCATTCTACTTCACCCAGTGTGGAGATGAAGAAGAAGATATCTTTTTTTTTTTTTCTTATCCCTAGTACACGTGGTACAGGCCATGATAATCATGGTGGGAGTTAGCGACTGCTTTTTACTGTAAGCGCACCACATGTCTACACATGTGAAAGCAGTTCGACTTTGCACTTACAAATGTGCCAGAGCCCCGTTTGGTTACTTGCACTCGCTGGTGGGGTTGGACTTTTGCAAGAATCGGGGGGCCATTGGAGCATTTTTTTTTTTTAAACAGAAAAAAGTGTCCAATGCGGGGATCGAACCCGGGTCGTAGTGGTCGTAAACCAAACGGTTTAACCAGCCTTCCACCGACCCCCCTAAGATATCTTATAAATGTGTTGATATTGTTTTTGCCTTAAATAAATTGCTGAGTCATCCTCAGGTTCTACTGTTGGACATACAGTTTGTATTGGTGATTTTTCAAATCTCCTTATTGATGTTTTCCGTCTTTATATACTTTCTCAATTATTTTTTCCAATATAAAGTTTCACTTGTTGGTTTGATGAAGGTACACCATGATAATCATGGTGGGTATCACTCTAAGTGCACCACATGTAGAAAGCACATACAAGTGTACCAAAGGTACCAAGTGTACCAAAGGTACCAAGTGTACCAAAGTCCTGTTTGGTTATCTGCACTCACTGGTGTGGGGTTGAATGATTACAAGAATCAGGTGCCATTAAAGGAATTTTTTTTTTAAGTTTCCAATTTGGGATTTGATCCCAGGTCCTGGCTGTCAAAAATCAATGACACTCCAACCACTGATTTACTTCTTTGTAATATTCCATTTTAGAACTTAAAATCTTCATGCAAAAATGACAGATATTTTATTTGCATTTTCAAAAATTACATTTCTCTTAACAATGATAAGGCACAATTTGGATGATCTCTATCCTTATATATATAAAAATGAAATGTGAAATCGATGTTTGCTATCGCATCACGCAAAATCTACTGACTCAATCATTATGGAATTTCGCATGTAGGTAGCTGAAGATTTCGTTTAACATATAGGCTATTCAAAAAACTAAAAAAGTTAATGTGCTTTTTTTTTTAAATAAAAAACCAAAAAGCGTTAGTTCCAGTCTTTTACCGCTAGGGCGCAGCACTGGTCGCGACGATAAATGAATTTGATTTTTTTAAAGCATCGGTGGTTCAGTGGTAGAATGCTCGCCTGCCACGCGGCCGGCCAGGGTTCGATTCCCGGCCGATGCATTTTTTTTTTAACAATTTTTAAAACTCATTTATATTATATCTTCTTCTATATTAATAAAATGCAAATTTCATAAGTGTTGTTCACTAAAAACTTTCGTTACAATGCATCAATTTCGACCAAATTTTCAACATTTATGTAAAACGAGATGGAGCAGGTTTTGCTTAACATCAAAATATTTTTCCTAACTTTAACATGCGTAACTTCGCTGTTATCGATTAAATACAAAAAAAAAATCAACAGAGTTAATTTTATTTATATATAAATACAAAAAAAAATTCAGCAATTCATTCAACTCAATCTAAAAAAATATTCAAAACAAGCAATTTTAAGATAACACCATATGTAAAACAGTCGGCCAAGAAAACAACAACGATATTACATCTTTCTCACATATTCACACACAATCTTGATTAATAATTAAAACTAATCTTTAACATTGTTTATTATACTTCATAATATATAATATTCGTTAGGCAAACTTTCACTCGGATAAAACCCGGGCGAAGCCGGGTACACATCCGCTAGTATATATATAAAAGTCAATTTCTGTCTGTCTGTCTGTTTCGCGATAAACTCAAAAACTACTGAACCAATTGGTACCAAATTTTGCATGTCGCTTTTTATAAACCTGAGGAAAATTTTCGGCTGCATTTTGATTAGTATTTTTGGCTATTTCTTTTTTTCATTTGAAGAACTTTTTTTTTACGCGGACTAATCCGGAATGGAATGAATACCTAAATATGGCCATTTTTTTAAAGCATCGGTGGTTCAGTGGTAGAATGCTCGCCTGCCACGCGGGCGGCCAGGGTTCGATTCCCGACCGATGCATTTTTTTTTAACAATTTTTAAAACTCATTTATATTATATCTTCTATATATATATAAATGAATGTTTGTATGTTTGTTTGTTTGTTTGTTGGTTTGTATGTCCGGTATACAAATTCGCAGTAGTTCACTAATTCAAACCAAAATTTCCATACATAGGTAAAAAAATACGGGGAAGACGATAGGCTATTTTAAAAAATATATAAATCAATTATTAAAACTATATATTATTAGTCAGAAAATGATGATGACGATATTGCTGTATCATGTAAGATTATCAGATACAAAATTATATCGGGAAAAATTCCAAAAAGCAGAGACCGCGGGTGAAACCAGTTCATTATTTTGTACGCAGGAACAAAATTCTAACAGAAAAACATTCATTCGAGCAGAAAACAAAAGCCAGATCATCTTTCTATAAAAATATCGCTTCTCAGACACAAAGTTTGGAGCGGGACGTTTCACAAGAGTGACATCCACGCCGCCAATTTATAATTGTAACGAATAGTATTTAAATAAAAACATTTAATCGGGTAAAACCCGGGCGTAGCACGGGTCATTCGGGTAGTAGATTATAAACACAAGGTAATAAGACCAAATTTAAAAAAAAAATGTGTGTGATGTTTCTGTAACAGCGTTGTTACCATCTTCAGTACTTTGGTCTGATGATGGTAACAACGCTGTTACCAAAATGTCACACACAATTTATTTATTTGGATTTGGTCTTGATAAAGCACAATTTGGATTATAGATACAAGAAAATTAGACCTAATCCAAATAATTTAATAGTGTGTGATGTTTTGGTAACAATGCTGTTACCAAAACATCACACATTATTTATTTATTTGGATTTTGTCTTATTAGCTTGTTTTTATTTCTCTTAACAATGTCATAGAGGGTTAGACACTCATTTCTGCAAACATGTGAAAACATGTCACCATTTGTATTACTCGACCTTGTCACACAGTAAACTAAAACAACCTAATTTACCATCAGAAACTAATTCAACCTAATGTATATTGAAGCAGCACATTGCCATCAGAGGTCGGCAAAATGGGTATCTCACACTTTGGGAGAAATAAGTTGAAGGAAAGATAACTTTAACATTAGAAGTCAAGAGTGATATGACTTCTGGCTTTAAATATGATCCAGTTCAGTAGAAATACCTCTTTATGAAGGACAACACCTAGAAACTGAGCTAAAGTGTCCTTTAGGGAGAGGTGTCCTTTCACTGAAAAGTTACTGAATAGTAAAAATGGTAATTTTGGCAATTAAAACTGTTCTTTGTAGAGAGGTGGCCTCTCATGAATGTTCTAATGTATTCTAGTAGAATGAATGATTGAAATTATGAATTAGATATTTAAATGATGATAAAAATTAATGATAAGGCTAAATTTGGATTTGGTCTTTTTTACCTTGTGTTAATGAAAATTGATAAAAACTTTCTATATTAGAAAATCACCAAAAATGTGCATATATAATTTTCAATGTATCTGATTTTAAATGTTATAATTGACTTTTTGAATTTAAATAATGTTTTAAACACTTTTGTGAAACCATATTTTTTCTCCAAATGAAATCTTAATTTGTTCTGTAGTAAATTTGCCACAAAAAACTTTTTTTTGAATATTATATGTTTTTTAAATATTAAATATATATATATAAATATATAATATGTAGTTAAAATTACCTTAAAATGTTGATCGCGATAATATTTTGTCTTTGACATTTTAAGCTAAAAAAATATTAAAATAAAATATACAATAATAATATCTTTAGAGAAAATATGTCCTTAAATGTTTATAGCTATTTATTTGGTTAACCGAACTTTCAGGAAAGCCTACAAAATGTTTACAATTAACCAAAGTTGACAAACAAAATCCTACTTTATTTAACTATAAAAACAGAGTATAATATAAAAAAAAAACAAGAAATATAATATTCATTGATAATAAATATATTTTTCACTCTTCGATTTTTTTCCAAATAAAATATTTATAAATTAAGAAATTAATCAAGGTTCGATTATATGAAGGTCTTCAATTTCATGTCATTAATAAATCAGTAAAATGGTTTCTAAGATTATTTTTTTGAACAAATCTACGCCTATAAAATTTTTGCACTTTAATACAACATTTTGCACATTAAAACAACATTTTGCACATTAAAAACAACATTTTGAATTTAAATAGCATAATTTCACACTTTAATAACATTTGTATTTTTAAATCGATATTTTTGATTTTTAAATATATTAGAGCATTTAACATAAAGTTGCGGGAGAATGAAATTCAGGTACCAAAAGAGGTATATCTCCATTGGCTTTTTGTCTGAATTTGCCAAATCTTATGTTGTGGCTTTATCTTCATCATCACTAGTAGAGTTTTTTACTAGGGTGATAAACAACTATATTTTTCTGTTGCACAATTAAAGGGAGAGATGCTTCTTTTGGTACATTTGAGCATTTGTACTATAAATATTTTTTTATTTGAATAATTTTATTTGAATTAAAAACTGTCTATTTCAAACATTTTATATGCGTTTATAAATCAAGCATTAGAAATTTTTAAAAAAGCATTTTTATTTTCAGAGGTAAATTCGACTACTGTTTTGAATTTTCTCTATATTTACCAAAAAAAGATGCTTCCTAGCTTAAACTTCAGTTATCTTCATAACTATTGTTTCAAATAAGTTGGTTTCGTTTTTTTCTTATCGCATCATGAAGGCGCACAAGTATTTCTTTGTATGCCTGTTTATTAATAGTGTAGAGGCCACTCTTGGGGCCTCCACAAAGTTCACCCACAGTACCTAATAGAAAGCTGCCTCGACAAGAAAGAAGAGGACTTCGAGCATACATCATTGTCAAACCAGCCCATCTCTTCACCTCCTTTTATTCCTAATTTTGTATATAACTTATAATATTATAATAAATTTCCTTTTTTTAATAAGCAGCTATTTTGTTTTTAATATTTTCAAATAATATTCGTTAATTAAAATAATATTTTGAATAATAATTTTAATTATAATTTTTTTATTTTCAATTTTTTTTATTTGGAATATTATAGAATTTTTAATTTTTTATCACAGAGGGTGACTAGATAAAGATTTATTATTATTTTTATTTTTTTGTCATGATTTTTTGGTCACCCTGGGAAAAAAAAGTCAGTTACAGTCAGTCTTGGAGAGAAATAGGAGAGTCAGGCTCGTGAGAAATTAACCAAACATGTAGTTCTACAAGATTTTAGTGGAAGGAATTTTCCAGCCATCCAACTGAAGCACTAAGTTAAGTAACTTTCAAAAATATATTTTTAAACAGGTCATATTCATGTATATTCTCCCAATCTTTCCTCATTGCCCGTTTTATGTGTGACCGTTTCAAGAGATAAATAAATATATTGTAGTCTTAATCAAAACTTATAGTTGTCTAATTTTTTTTAACCCCAGTGCGTGCAGGATATATGCAAATTATATTATTTTATATAGCAGGATGTATATTTCGTGAACTCCCTGAGAACGAAAGAGCCTTCATGGATTTCGGGACGAAAGCGTCAGAAATCAGCTCATCAATAGTAACCCCCTCTTTAATAAATTCATAATAGACAAGTCCTCGATAATGGGAAAACACTACAAGCATTAATTTTCCTTTGGACTTTTCAATACGAACTCTTCTTCCTAGGAGAACTTGGTATGTGCCATTCAGTGATTGTTTTTGGTTTGTGGATAAAAAAGAAAGCACCATGTTTCATCACCAGTTATTATTGGCTTTAAAAAATCACAATCATTATTTGCAGTTTCAATTAAAATTGAAATCAATGCAATTTTCAATAAAAATTCCATGTGTCTAAATTAAAATGAAAAATGTCTAAATATAAATTAAAATTGTCTAATTAAAAGTTAAGAACCTATATATCATATAAAAGCATAGAATACAAAGTTTAATAAAACAATGTTTATATTGTCTTATTTTAATTATTTTTTAGAATACAGCCTTGTCTCCCCACTTATTGATCACAACTTGTAAATTAAAAAGAGCATAAAGTTCATAGGAAGAAAATATCTGAATAATGTACCATTATAAAAAAAATTGTTCATTCATCTAAATGTTACATATTTCAAAGATTTTTCTATCTGGATATATATCTACACTGAACGTTGATTAGTCTAATATTTATTTAATTAACAAGAAATGCAATCATACATGTGATATCTTGGGACCTCTGTGTCCAGTGTTACCTGATGCTAGACGAACCTCGATGTCAACTCTACCGTGCAGTCGTGGTGGAAGGCGACACAGCTCGGCCAAAGGTGAAATAAGCAAACAGAGATTCCACTAAGAAGCGTCTGACGTCAAGAAGGAATGGGACGAGGAGAATTCTGGTAGGAAAGGGTTTACCTTTTATCGGAGTGTCCGGCGGAGTCTGGTGCTGAAACAAAGACTAACTAAGGACTGACTAACTGAGGATCGGGACCTCCTTTTATAGCTGAGCGGGTTCGAACAGGTCGCTGCCCTTTTCTGACGTAAACAGGGGGGGGGGGGGGGAAGTTTTATTATCCAGGAGGGCCACGACCTCGTAAAAGTTGGATTGGGTTTGCTAGGCCTGCTTTCCTATTCAAACCTAAGCCTGATTAGCTTTAACCTTAATTTTCTCCTGTTAGTCTCCATTCCTTCTATCTGTACAGTTGCTATACTTTATTAGAATCTTACGCGGTACAGATTGATGTTAGTTGAGGCTTTCTATTTGCAGTAAATGAGAATTTATATACAATTACATGGTGGAACATGTGGTAGTAGATATCTGGACTATTTACAACAATTCCATGGTCTTAAATCATCACATACATTTATGCTGTTGACTCTCTTAAGTCTGTTAATTATTATTAAAGTTGGAACTCTACTATCAGTAATGTTCAATTGTATGTTAAGAAATTGGTTCTACATCATCATTATAAAACCTGAATGATCCAACTTCGCCCCTAAGTGGATGCTTGCCATAACGAATATTG